AACGGAACTCGGGGCGCTACAATCACTAAGTTGTATTGTTTTTTTTATTTTTCTATTATATCGAGATGTTTGTGTTGTTGTTGAAAATGATTCTCGAACTTTCCAAAATTGGTAATTGAAACCAAAAGAACCAATAACTAAACATGGTCTCAATTCGTTGCATAGCTTCTTGGAAATCTTTCTTTACTTCAAACAGTTGATGGACATGCAAATCCTCATAATTGGAAACCACACGCGAAGAATTAAAGGAAAATGCACTCGATCCAGCTTACGAGCTCGTACCCGTTCATGTCTATAATAAAACAATCAAATCCTTATTTTTAAATTATTTTTCATTCTCATTGTCGTAAACTACAAAGGGAATTATGTGCTTAACAGCGATATCACAATGAAGAACAATTGTCTCGGGAGTAACCTCATCATCCGACAACCTATCTCTACCGTGTCTCAAAAATTATTGGCATTATGACCCTCTCCATTCGAATATTTGTATTCACCTTCGACGACATTCTTCCTCACTAAAATCACGCAAAGAGGAGTCGTGTGCATTTTGTTCAATTCTAATAGATAATTCACTTCAGCATAAAAAGAAACCTTCATATGTGGAATCATAATCGATGAATGCTCGTTGAATAGAAATCTTAGTTCCATATCGTACAGAGAGGGATCGACTTCAACTTGTTCTATAAATCATGGTACATTTCCGTATATGATGTAGTCGATATTATGTAAATTAAAATACTACCACGTACATCACTCGTTCATTTCCATACTCATCAATCTTTTTCATTTAATTCAAAATTACCAAAATAGCAAATCAGGATTACAACCATATCTGTATGAGGAAAAAAATTTTAATTAGGAATAATTGCAGCAGCGGTCCCAAACCTATCACTTTTTTGCAAACTTTACCTTAACCTTCACTTTGTGCCACCCACAATCCCAAACCATTTAAAAATTAACACCTTGAGTCCAAATGGATGATTTCTATTAGTTTGACCATTAATTGACCCAATAAATTGATTTTGACAAATTTTAAAAGGGGTAAAATAGTAATTTTGAATTAAAATAAAAAAAAACTAAATAACAAAGAAAAAAAAATCACACTTCATCTTCCCCTCACCCAATGTCCTTCTAAACCATTGTTCATCTTCCTCAAACTAGAACTATTTGTCTTCCTCAACCTACCCCACCCTCCCACTCCTAAACCAATCCTTATCCCCCTAACCTAATCCAACCACTAAATCAAACCAAAATCAACTCGTTCAACGAATTGAGGACACTTGAACTCCCATTCGAAGAAGAAACCAACCACTCCTAGACGCGTGCCCAGGTGCCGCCAAAAAATGGGGTCGACTGTTAACGATTTTTTGTTGTAGTCTACGGTTAAGTGAAGCACTTCTCAATCTGCAAGACCACTGCCACTCACCACTAATTCCTTCTCGAAGTTTACGAATGCCAAAGTATGCACCGACCCTTCAAATTTACCTATCGCAAGACGCTACAGAGTGCCCCTTGTGCTCGAAGCGAGAGTTTCACCAAATCCCAATGCCGAGTCTGCTATGAAATTCTCAAGGAGTTGATTTGGTGGTTGGATTAGGTTAGGGGGGTAAGGATTGGTTTAGGGGTGGTATGGTATGGTGTGGTGTGGTGTGGTGGGGTGAACAGTTCCATGTTCCTTTTAATTTTAATTTTTTTTAATTATTTTATATGAAATAATGAAGAATTTACCATTTTGCCCTCTTAAATTTGGTTAAAAGATATTTTTTTAGTCAACTAACGTCCAAATGGATGGAATCCATCTGTTTGGACCCTATGTGCTAATTTTTAAAAAGTTTGACACAAAGTGAAGGTTAATGTAAAGTTTGTAAAAAAGTGATAGGTTTGGGACCGCTGCTACAATTTTCCCTTTTAATTATAAGAAAAAATAGTCGAAAAATCGACCCAACCTAGTGGCTATTGAATTTTCAATAATAAAAAAATGGTCGGACCGATTGTTAACAGTCGACCGTTAATAGCCCGCTGTTAGGTTTGGTTGTTAGCAGTTGATCCAGTTTCCTTTGTATATTGCCATGAATCTCGTCTTAAAGAATATACATACTTATGATTTTTTTCTTATTTATACTTAAAAAAAATATAGATCTATTAAAATTTTTTAGCTACATTAACATTTATGTTGAACTGAGATTTATCAATTAAAAAAAATACTAATTCAATTAAAACGAAATTAAATATACGTAAATATACTTATCGATTCGAAGTGATAGATATGAAAAAATATTTTTTTGTTCAGTATTTGATAAATTTTTGAGATTTTGAGTCTGAATAGATGAAAAATAAGTGTTTTATTTGTATTGAAGTAAAAATATTAAAAAATTAGCTGAGTTTGAAAGTTTTAAGGTCGAAATGTTTGATTTTTACTTTTTAACTAAAATGGTGGTATTGTTTTTTAAATAAAATAATATTTTGAATTGTATAAAATACATCTTTATCTTTATCTTTTAACATCCAAAAGTCATTTGTAAAAATATTTGACTAAACCAAACTTTAAATTACCCCCACGAGTATCTGGCAAACCAAAAAGTACGGGTCGGGCCACCTCAGAAGCTCAAGTTGAACAGTCCCGCTAGAAACTTCTACTGGATTTTCTTTAGGGTTTCTTTAGGGTTTTACATCGTGCTTCACTGAGAGTCTCTCTTCGATTAGCTCAGTTAGACCTAACCAATGGTCCGATTCTACGAATTCCGGCTGGCCCGCCGCTCCATCTGCTCCTATCTACGCCACAATTCACCTTCTCTTGTATACACTTAATCCTTTTCTGTTTCTATTTATATACATGCTAAATTAATGATTATTATTCATGTTTATTGATGGAATTTTGTTCTTTTTATGCAGTTGGGTGAATCATTATTGGAAGGGAGTTGCAGGAGTTATGGCACAGCACTATCCAATCGTTGTAGGGTCCTTCCCTATTCGAATTTTGGAAATGGTATCTGACTATTTTGCTCCTTTTTCATATGTTTCGTAATTATCTTGGTTGAATTATATGATTCTTATGTTATTTGTTATTTTTATTATTTGGATACAGTGGCTAGTGAGAGAGACTGGTTGAAAATCGGTTTACTCAAAGCTAATTTGGGTGTGGCACGATCAATTCATAGCACTGGTAATTGTTTATTTTCCAATGCTTTGAGGCAGACATATTCCGTGTTCTTTAATTTCTTGTGTTTATTTCTCGTCTGATATTAAACCTTAGATGACTTATGATGGTTTATTATCCATCTCTGTCATGAGCTGGAGGTATATATTACCACAATAATATCCTGTTTTTAACTTAAGAAGATTAACTTGAAATTCATTGAAATATGGGAACTTTTCTCCATATCTATCTAAATAGAAAATGATAAAAAAAAATGTAGTACCACATTTGTTGATGAAGTTACTGCTAAATTATTCGAGAAAATTAATTTATTATGGTGGTCTATTTTAAAGGGTTGTTTGATGCACATTATGGAGAAGAAAATGCATTTTATGATGTGATGTGATGGAAAATATGTGGTTAAAAAATAAGGAAAAGTTTTGGATTTGCGTTTAATATTATTTTATTGAAAAATGGGTTGAAAATGAGTTTTTAAAGAATGAATTTTTTGAAGAATGTGTATCAAATATGGGCTAAATTCCTTATCCTGTTTGACCTTTTCTGGGGATAAGTTTGCTGACTTTTTTTCCTTCCATTTTCTTGTGTGTGGGGGTTATCATCCTTAGCACGTTTGTCAAGAGATTTTTACGATGTGCTCGGCATAAGTAAGAGTGCAACTGCTTCAGAAATCAAGAAAGCTTATTATGGGGTATCTCTCTCTCCCTCTTGTCAATTTCTGCCACACTTACAAACAAATGTAACTGAGTGGTATTTTTATGAAAATGTATGATTACCAAGTCTAGACTCGTTTCCTGATGATTTTCCATTTTTCTCTCACGTCTCAGTTATTCTTCTATGATTTTCTTTTTGCCACAGCTTGCAAAGAGGTTGCATCCAGATACAAACAAAGATGACCCAGAAGCTGAAAAAAAATTCCAAGAGGTTCAGAAAGCATATGAGGTACTTGATTCTCTGAACAATTTTCCTGTATATCAAAACTCTCAGATATTATCCCCAGTGGAAATTCTTTTGATATTTATTTGCATTTTCATCGTAGGTCTTGAAAGATGATGAAAAGCGCCAACAGTACGATCAGGTTTTTAATTATTTTCACATTTATGTGCATTCCTGATTTGTTGGTTTCAATAATCACCTATTAACTAGGAAATTATAGCTTTCAGCTTAATAATTGTTTATTTGCGAAGGTTATTTATATTTATATCATAAGAACATAGAGAATACTATAGTTTTGTGGAAACTCAGTTTGCAACCATTTTGTAGAGGGATTAAAATTATGACACGTTCCTTAATGTTTCTTGTACGAGTAAACATCTGTTTTTTCATTTTTGAAATTTATAAAATCATAAAGGAGTGTTAGCGGTAACAAAAAATGTTATCATGATTACAGAATTGCCATTTTTGAGTATCACCAATTTCAAAAATAATTTTATATTTTGAAATGAAAAAGATATATGAAGCTTTACTAGAATGCACAGTGTATGTATAGCTCCCCATTCTTTCAAAATTTCATTTTTTCAAAACTAATTTTCAACTACATATTCTCTTATGAAATAATATTACATGTAAATTGAAAAAAATTCCTTACTTTTTAACCATACATTCTCCAACAAAACATTATTCGAAATGCATTTTTTGTCCAAAAAGGGGACTCAAACAAGGGCATAATATGAGGCTGTCAGGTTGAGGTATTGAACTACTTCTGGAAGTACCCAAAATGCACGTGAATGTGTATTCATATAGAGCTCAACTTAACTAAACTTTACCTGAAACTTGTTTGGGTCTTGGCTAAATAGATTCTACTCATCTCTATAAAAACCATCTTGACAGTTTGAGTTGCAAGATTTACCCTTTTTAACTACTATTCATACTAGTGATATATTAATAATATTCTTCGGGAAAATTTTCTCTCTTTTTTTCGTTTCTTTTCTTTTCTTTCTTTGTGAGTGTGTGCGCTAAATTCAAGTCATGAATATGCTGCAAATCAGTCCTGACATTCCAAATGTAGCTTATGTTGTCTCTTAATGGCCAAGTATTTGGTCCCATCCCACTAGGCATTGTTGGATATATTGTAGTGCTGTAGAGTTTTCATTTTAATTTTATGGAAAACTTTCGATCACACTGAACCATAGGTGTATTTTACCACATAACAAGCCAGCATTGATCCTACAACAAAACATCATTCTAGTTAATCTTGTATGTGCACGAACATGTATTTGAGAATGGTAGAGAAGTTTTGATATTAACCAAGATAGTTGAATAGAGAAAACAAAATGAATGATGGAGAAAGAACTACCTCTCTGTTGTATAAATGGGGTCTTCATTAATGTTTAGAATGTAGCCTATGTTTGGTGGAGACTAAAATCAGATTTTTTGTAGATTTTGATAAAGTTTATGAAATGTGTGATTGAAAAGTTGTCGGTTCCATTAAATATATGATTAAAAATAATTGACTTTGACTTAAATTAAAATATATATTTTAATCATTACAGAGGTGTTATATTTTTACGTCCTTTTAATCTCAGCAGCATGCTAAAAAATTTCAGATTTATCCTCTTATGACTAAACATGTAAGTAGGTGGCCCCCCAATTTCATTCTGAACATCTTATTTTTGTCTCTCAAACATCAGTAAATTATCTTGCCTATATACTTTGAAGTTATCTATCATGCAAGTGGATAAGCATATTAATAGGGAAGCACACTATCTATACGAGGTGCATAGATTGGTTTTGTACATAATAGAAAATTTGCTACCTTATAAGTGCAGTTGATTATCATATAAGCTTCACATGCTCACTTCATCTTATTTACCACCCTTGAAAATTTACCTCTCTGTCATGTACATGTAATAGCTTGGCCATGAAGCTTTTGAGCGAACCAGTAATGGTGAAGGTCCCGGGTTTGATCCGTTTGGAGGTGGTGGCTTTAATCCTTTCCAGGACATCTTTAGAAATGCTGATGTAAGCATTTGTCTGTACTTCATTTCATTTATTCTTTTACCCATTTTTATGGCCTTTTGCTGTATCAACTAGATTCTTTATTAGCCATTGATGCCTAGAGTAGGATGATATTTTCTTTTGAAGAATGTTTATTCGGAGGACATAATATATGTGAACTGAGAGGGGATTAAAAATTTCAATTTTTCTCTCTAGAAAGTCTTTATATTTTTATTGATGAAACTGATTGATAAGCTTACAGAAGCTAACTATAATGGTGGGGCTCTGAAGACACTGAGAATGGAAGTTTGATTATTCCCATTTAAACTTTTGCTTTCTCGATGTAATTCATTCAAACTTTTTTCTCTCTCTTATATGGGGCTTAACTGGGGGCTGTGCTCTCTCTTAGTGTTTTAATTCCCTAGCCAGTGAGATTCATTTCCCTCGTCACTATAAGTGCCACATGACTTGGGCAAAAATTTACATCTAGTGATACTAAATCAGTTTCAAAAAGCTTTCCTAAGACTTTAATCAAGTAACTATGCTTTAAATTACCTTTGATGTTTAAATTGTACATAACACCGTAGATAAATTGGTGGAATGATGAAATAAAATGATATTGACGTTGAGGTATGAGCATGCATTCATCTGGACCATTTGGTAACTAGTAACTACACCAGTGAATGATGTGAAGCACCTCATTTCTTAATGTTTGGATGTGTTGCATTGTATTACTCTCATATTTTTTCTCACTGTTATATAATAAATCAACTTAATCTTGAAAGATCTAATGTGTTTTCTCTTGCATGTTTTGACCCATCCCACTTTGATCAGATTTTCAATATATTCAATCGGGACATGGGTGGTGAAGATGTCAAGGTTACTGTTCTTCTTCTAATGAACAGTTAACGAACTTGATTTTTCTGTAATTTCTCACTAATATTATTAATCGAGTGCAGGTTTCAATCGAGCTATCCTTTATGGAAGCTGTTCAGGGATGCTCTAAAACACTGACAATCCAAACTGATTTGGCTTGTGATACTTGTGGTATAGCCATCACTCTTTTATTGTGATACCGAATAATTTGTAAAATGCTCTATCAAGGCAATGCCTTATTTACATGTCCTCATTGATTCTTATTTTAATGTGCTTGAACTGAACTTAGATTCTATTGTATGGAAAGTTTGTGCTTGTGTCTCTTCAATGATGCTTTCCCATAAGTTCTTTCTTATTATTTTGTCGACTCTATTAGGTGGAACTGGCGTTCCTCCTGGAACCAGGCCTGAAACATGTAAGCGTTGTAGGGGCTCTGGCATGGTAGGTCCTGATCTATTGCCATTCCCGTGGTACTGGTGCATTTAACATTCATAATAATATTGTTTTTTCTCCCAGGTTATATCACAAAATGGACCATTCACACTTCAGTCTACTTGTCCTAACTGTGGAGGAGCCGGAAAAATTGTATCGGTAGGACATATATCTACTTTTACCATGTAATATTTTTATTATCATTCTAAATTTTGATCAGTGGATAAAATAATAAGCTTAATTTGAGCTGCCCAATCCCTTAACTGAAATGTGATACCAGACAGGTATTTGTGTTGTTTTCTTCCTCATGTCAATTGCTGGAAGATATTTTCTATCTTGCGTGCGCTTGTATTCATTTATTTATTTTGTTTAACAAGAAATGCTAACATTTTTGACATAAGAGTTGACCTCTAGTGTGGAATAATTTGTTGTATTCTTGAGGTATGAGGAGGCTTAGTTATCTTATAGTTAAGGGGCCTGTATACATCTTTGGTTTCATTGCTTGTTGTTTTTACCTAACCTTTTTGTTGCAGTAAGTACTTTTCCCTCTTGATGGTTGTAATTCTCTATTTTAAATTAATACATGTTCTTATCTATAAGATGATTGGTAGATGTCAGAATATCATGTTGTTGTGTCTATATTGTTATTCTGTAAACAAAGACAGCCCTTGACTATGTGATTCTAAGAACAGAAGTAATTATCTTGGGTGCATCAAGTGTCCTTTGCCATGTTAATTGTTACAAGATATTTGCTTTCTTATGTTGTTAAACAATTGAACTTTGACAAGATAAAATTGACTTTCTTATAAAAGAGATGATATCAGAAGATTTTATTTTTCTTTTATGTAATTTTTCTGTAGACAATCATTTGAATTTTTTGTAGCTAGATAACTTCATTAGACTTCGAATATGATTTATTTCTCTTAAGTTCTCAGTTGGAGTAATTATGATATAAATAATAATCATTCAATCGAAGAAATATTCAATGCTTCCCATGTTTGTATTTCAAAATAAAAGCTATATCCAGAAGATTAGAAATTTTTACAATCTAAGTCTTGTAAAAAGTTTCTAGCTTTAGTAGTTTGTTGTGGAAATATAGTAGTAGTTCACCTCTATAGTTTTTGACATTTCTAACACTCGCTCTAAGCCTATTGATAATGATAATTAATGTTAATGGTGAAAAAGTTGATCAATTAATTTTTTTATTTTTTTTCCTACAGAGTTTTTGCAAGTCATGCAGGGGTAAACGGGTAGTAAAGGGACCAAAAACAGTGAAAATAAATGTTCTGGCAGGTAAGTTATAAATTCATGCAGGGGTAAACGGGTAGTATGGAGATTGTGATGTGAATCTTCTGCCAATTTTGACGAGGCATTGAGATTACATTATGTTATATCTTGATTTTTTCCCTTGAACCCATTTAGCCTTGTTTGGTGCCCATTGTTTTAAAACTCTTTTTGCTACATGATCATTTTAAACCACACATTCACACAATAAAATATTTTACGCGTAAATCAAATTTTTTCCCTACTTTTTAATCACGTATTCTCCTAAAAATACTATTCAAAACTCTTTTTTTTATTTAAATAATGGGCACCAAACAGGGGCTTAATACGATTTCATCCTAAATTAGTTCCCAAGAAGGAAGTTTTGGCCTTTGTGCACCAAGTTCATTAGCCAATATCATTTCTCCCAATAATTAATATAGGGATAATATCACAAATTTGATGAACTTTCAGATTTCCTTAATAAAATCACTTTTTTTTAAAAAAAAAAAAAAAAACTTCATGCTTGGAAATAATATGCAGTAGTTTCTCGTAATTATTGATTCTTTTTAAAAAAAAAATTACAGAATCAGTCTGCTGTGATGCCCGTGTACAGTATTTTGTTAAATTTTTGTGAAGTTTTCATCAAAGGTTTTATTTGCTCATTATTGTATACTGGTGATCTTATGCAGGGGTGGACAATATGGAAACCATTAAGATTCCCAGAAGTGGTGGAGCAGATCCTGAGGGCAATCAACCTGGTGATCTTTATGTTATAATCAAGGTTATACTTGATTAGTTCCTTTACCTCCAATGCCATTCTTTCTGGGCAATTTGTAGTTTGGATAGTCTATTGCTGTCTGCTCAAGTTTATGCTTCATGTATTTTCCAGGTTAGAGAAGACCCTGTGTTCCGGAGAGAGGGGCCTGACATTCATGTTGACTCAATTTTGAGCATTACTCAGGTAATTTTTGGGAGGTTATATGTCATGGTATCAGAACTATTGACAGGAAGACAAGTATTTAGTTTATAGACTTTATTTATGTAAATTAAACCGAAAATATACATTTTTCAGGCAATTTTGGGAGGAACAATCCAGGTGCCAACTCTGACTGGGGATGTTGTTGTTAAGGTTTGTATGAAACATTGAAACTACATCTTGCATTTTTTCTTGTTTAACTAATTGATTAATGGGACTCTTTTAACTTTTTGCATCATGAGCATTGCCTAATGGCATAGTTATTTAACTACATCCAGTTGTTTCTCTGATCATGAGAAACAAACTTTCTTTCAGTCCGGAGAAATAAACTATATTTTATTTGTGTTGCAACATCTGAAAGCTTGTTTGTAACTGCAGTTTGTGTTTTGTTTGTCCTATTTCTATTGTGTTCATTATTTTTAGTGTTGGTTTGTTTTGTAGGTCCGCCCCGGAACTCAACCTGGTCAAAAAGTTGTCCTGAAGAAAAAAGGTATGCGAGTTTATTATTACCTGTTCTTGTCTCCGATTTACTTCTCAAAATCTTTTGCTGTAAAGCCAGTTTCTAGAACTTATAAATGATAATATTAACATTAATGCTGACATTTGTATCATATCTTGGAAATTAGGTAGACTATCTTGCCAATAGTCTTGGTTGCATTATGCAGTTGATGATAGCTTCATGTGTTTATATTGTAATTTGTCGTTTGTCAGCTGTGTTTACTTTCTGTTATTGTTGTTTGTATATTTAGAATCTGACATTCTGAGGATGAAAATTCTCCATAAATATCTGGGGCTCTGTTCCTTTGCATACCATTGGAAAACATGTAGCAGTCGTAGCCTTGTCTTACGTTACCATAGATGTAAATGTTGTGCACACTGGACTATCAAACTCCCATATCAAAACAGAGACCCGCATCATACTATATTTGCTCTTGCCCTTGCTTTCTAACATCTTTCTGTGTCTGCTTCATCACTGACACTAAAAAAAAGATGGCTTTCTAACTGGAACTTATGTTCACAAAAGAAAATAGCACTTTGATTCTTCAGGTTCTCTTACTCTCTCTCAAGTGGGCAAGTTGACCATTTTAGCTGGTGTGTGTGGTTCAAATATATGCACAAAAGAGGGTATCTTTGATGGTATATTCTCATGTCGACATGTTTCCAAGCTAATGTAACTCATTGGTAGTTTTTCACGTAGTTGAAATTATTTTTGGTGTTCATTTGTGTGCTTTCTTATTATTTTCTCTCTTCATTTTTTTTTCCAGAACTGATATTCATTTTGTTTAGTATAATACTGATAATGTGTTCCCCTCCCTTATGCTTCTTATGCAGGGATCAAAGTTAGGAACTCTTACTCATTTGGAGATCAATATGTTCACTTTAATGTCAGCATTCCAACGTAAGCGTCTTAATCGGAGGAAAATTTGTCCCGACCTCTTACTCATCCCCCCATTTCATTCTCTGCTTACGCACTCTTTCATAGAACTGAATAGAAGGAACTCGGTTTCAGTGGAGAATTGAACAATTATGGCTCACCTCTTGCTCTCTCTCTCCCGTTTTCTTGTAGTTTATTGCATGAAGAACATTTTCGTGAATTTGGATTATTGAATTCTTTTCATGCCCGACATTTAATAATATTTGACTGGGTGAACTTTCGTTTTTGCCTCTTAGAAACTTGACCCAAAGACAGCGGCAATTGATTGAGGAATTCGCCAAAGAAGAGCAAGGGGATTATGATAAGGGTGCTGCTGCAGGTGCATCAGGTTGAACAATCTCCGCGGTAATTGCCAAGTCACGAATAACGAAGGCAAAACACGATGTTCTGGCAGCTTGCGTTGCAGGTTGATAATTAATTTTTTATCCCTTCAACAAGTTGGGTAAAATTATGTAATATTAACAGAACACAATTCATTATAGTTCTCATTACTTGAGCCGATTTTGATCTCTTAGCTATGTTGTACATATAGACAAATTAATCTTATTTGAGCACTTTAGATACTTGCATTTAGGTTACTTTCCTATGTTGACATTGTTCTCAGCTTCCTGGAAATAATCTTCCTGCATAAACTGGAGAGATGTAGTTTAAATGTAAAATTCTAAGTTGGTTTGCAATAATGAAACTTCTATACTAGTGTAAAGGGTATGTCATTTATGAATTATATCGTAGAGGTGGGGGTAGGTCGGGTCGGTTCAGTTTTGTTCGGTTCCAGAAATTTTTGAGTATTTAGTAAATGGAATCGT